GGGTAATGAAGCTTCAGGTGCACCATTCAGCCACTTTCAAGTCGGTCCCAGCATGAAAAGAAACTTGCAGGAACACTGTCAGGCTCACTCCTGTGGTTTGGTAATTTGGGCGTATCTTTGATTTCTGCCGGGTCAGGTAGATGTGTATCCCTCAGAGGAGGTTTGCCTGGCTTTGTTCAAAGAATGGGGCTTTTGGGGGTTGGCTTGTTTTTAATAGCAGAGCCCTGCGTGTTTTTTTAAATGCTGTTTTGGGCTTTCTTGCACCAGGTAAGCTTTGAATGCTTGTGGTCTCAAGGCTTCAAGTGCATGCTCTGCCCTGTCACTAAGACAGGTTTGAGTGCGGGCAAAGGGAGCTGAAAGGGAACGTTTCTGTGGGAAAGGGATCCCCCTGGGACAGCAGCTGGCTATACAGCTTCTGTATGAGCTCTGGGTTGTTGCTGTACTCAGCTCCCTTAAAGCTCAGTGTGTGTTGGACTGACAAGTCACAAGGGAATGTAAGATTAAGAGATGGAGTCCCCGTATGGCAGAGACCAGCAGTCTGTGGCTCAGTAGTGTACATGCTCAGAGAGCAAGCTCTGCTTTGCTCAAGCAGAGCAAGTGGGGAAATCCAGGAGGAGTTAGTGGGGCAGGTAAGAGAGCAAGACATCAGCTAAGGACAGCTGGGAGAAACTGGGATTTATCAGCATGAAATAATGGAGCATTAGAGTAGAAGGTGCTAGACAGCCTTGATTCTTGTCCACCTCCTCCGTTTCACATGGGCAGATAATCAGTATTTATTTTACAACACGTGTTGCAACTGCGTTGTGTCACATAGCCTCGTTTTATGGCTTACGCCTGCAACAGTGCGATGTCGTGCATGTACCACAGGGAGAAAGTTGCCATAACAACTGAATGAAATCAATTAGAGTAATAAGCAATTAAAATCTCATCCTTGGTGTTGCATAAACATAACATTTTGCTCATGAATTATTAGTAGTCTTGCCTCTAGACCTGTATGTTCTGTTCCTGATTTGCGATCTCAACAATTTTTGAATTAATGAAGCATTTCATTTCTTCTTCAAAGAGAGCTGGTGGGTTTTTTTGGCTGCAGCAAGTATGTCTTCATCAGAGAGATGTAAACACTATTAAAATATCTAAATGAAGGAAGCGCTTGTGATGGGATTTCCAGAGCACTCAGTGCTGGCTCCGTTCCCACCCAGTGAAGTCGGTGGGAGAAGAACTACCCTATGGTGAGAAGTCTTGTCCTGGACCTAGAAAGGCAAACTCATCTCCTCGTTCTCTCACGCTTCCTCCTTGACCTTCTGTGCATTGCTGATCTCTCTTCCTTCCCTTATCCCCCCTCAGTAGCACAAAGATAGGAACAGCTCTTCGCTGTGTTTCTTGTCAAGGATAAATAAGATGAAAAGATAACTACAAAGCTGTTGCGGGAAAGCTGCGTGCATGGGGGCTCTTGAGAAAGCAGCTCGTGGATTTGGTGGGAGTGGAGCTAGGCCACCGGTCTCTTCCCAGTGGGGGATTTAGGTAAAGCTCCTACATCGAAATACATCAAAATGTACCAGGTCAGGGGGTCACACAGCTGTAACCCTGCCTGTGCTTTGCCTGGCAGGACCAGCGTCAAGGCTGATTGCCAACCTCCCTGGTTGGCCCCGTCCCTGCGGGAGGAGGCGTTCAGCATTTTGTGAGGACAGATGCCCCGTGGCTGCAGGACAGGCCCTGTGCTGTGCTTTCACAAGTCCTGGTTTGGTTCAGCAGCCTTGTGTGTGCACCTAGAGCTGTGCCCACCCTGCTCTCATGTGGATTTGTGGACCAAACTAAGAGAGTTGCTGTTCAAGTTATGCAACAGCCGAAATGCAACATCTGTTTACTTTGCGAGGGCCTGTTTGCTTGCTCTCTGGGGATTTCATGTGGCTGGGGGTAGAGTTTTGCAAAGGTTAGAGTTGAATTTATAATCCCAAGTCTCCAAGGAACTTTGGAAAACATTACTATGGTCAGAAGGTTAGTTTCCTTGTGTTCCTTGACTGAGCCAGGGATCTAGGAACTGTTTTTCATCCAGAGCTTGAATATTAACTAACTGCTGTCCCTGACTTCAGCCACGATGTCAGAAGCCGTTTGGGCGTACCACTCGAGACAAACCCCTCTTCTTGGATTGCCACTTCCCAAACTGAGCTGTGCTTTCATGCTAGGGTCACTGGCTGGTGCATCCAGAGGTCATCTGCCTCACCTCTTCTGCTTTTCTGGGCTTGTGTTGCTCCATTAAGTGCAACCCTGCTGTCTTTTGCCCTTCTGGCCGGCCAAGCGGAGCCACGTGCTCTCAGCGCTCTGACGGCATGACGAGGCAGCAGCTTACCTCAGCTGTGAAATCCCACGTGGCTCACCAGCAGGAGCCTGCTGCCCTGTCAGGACGTGTGCTTTGGGTACTTCCACAACCGTGGCTGTTGCAGTATTCCTTAAAGCACATGGGAAGGGTTCACTCTTGCCCCCCAAGCTCATTAAATTCTCTTTATTTCTGGTTTTCATTTTTCAGAGGAAAGAAGTGTGCACCTCTTCAAGCCCAGCAGAGAAGAACATACGATCACAAACGTATCAAACTTTTGTTCCTAGGTAGGAGTGCTCGACAGCTCTTCACTGTGTATTTTAACACTTGGGTGGGAGATGCCTTTCCCCAGGGTGCGTTACATGGGGGATGCTCTCAGAGCAATCTGTGCTGTGAACACTTGGAGTGAGACTGCTGGGGCTCCAGGTCCTGAGCTTGTCTTACCCAGACGTATAACAGAGCGTGTCTCATCGATTTGTATAGAAGGATGGTTAGAAATAAATACTTCTTCCTCTTATTTTCCTTCTTCCAGTGATGAGCACACACTGAGGCTGTCTGTCTGGCAGTGAGGCAGTGCAGACAACGGGTTGAACACCGCTGTGTTCATCCTCAAGAGAATTTCTTCGTTCTGGCAGCCCATAGGGTTCTTGCAGTTTCCTGGGGGCTGTTCTTAGTGGCAGGGGAGGTTGATCCATCCTTCTGCTCTGCTGCTCTGTATCTCTGCTTTCAGAAAAAGGCAGAGGGATGGAGAAAACAAGAAAGGACCAACATTGAGCACAGTACTTAGAACAGATTTGCTTATATACCAGCAGTGTGCAGTAACTGCTTGCAGGTAAATTTCCAAGGCCGTGGGTGTTTGGAAAAGGTGTGCTTACTTGTGCCTGTAGCAAATCCAATTACCATTTGTGTCTAGCAGTAGTAAAGGTCTCACCTGGCATCTTCAGGTACTCCTAAAACACAAAAGAGCACTATAATTAAGGGCTGATTTGCTGGCTCTAAGGATCTCAGGTTTCTTATCCTTTTGTCTATTAGCTGGTTTAATAAACAAGAACTCCTGTGGTGGTAGCTTAGCACTCTTCTCAGATCTCCGGGATGAATACAGATCAATTCCTTCTGGGGAAATAACAGCAGCTTTAATTTCCACTGGTGTCTGATCTCTGTGACAGTGCCTCTGCTTTCTCCTGGCAGTGCTGCTCGACTCCTGAGCACCTACTAATCCTGCAGCTTCTTTTCTTCTGGACTGATTTAGCACCACAGCTTTTAGCCCACAGCTCCTGGCTCTGTGCCATCATGTGCTCCTCAGCATTGGCCTCTTCCACCGTTCAGCTCTTCCAGCAAGGTTGTCCTGGAGGCAAAATCTCCATCTGGATCGACGCCACAGTCGCTGGCCCAGCAACTCCAGCAAGGTTTCAGCCACCAGAGGCACCAGGAGCTGGGGCCAGTGCTGTTCTTTGTCCCCAGCTCCCTTTGTTCCCCAGGGACCTGTTCAGCATTCCCAGGACATCAGGGCCTGAGGGATTAAAATGGAAAGACTTTAAAGGCTGCTGCCTTTATGGGGCCAGCTCTGCTGCCCAGCTCAGCCAGCGTTTAAGGTAGTGCTCTGTCCTCAGGGTGCAGCCAGCAGCCTTCCCTCGGCAGGGGATTTGGCCCGGGATGTCTCACAATCTGCTTTGCCCTTGCCAGGCCAGACTTCCAAGGCAGAAGACGTTGGGTCTTAGATGTGCAGTGAAAGAAAAGGCGGGCAAGTAACCTGTCAGCTGGTGAGGGAATGAATGCTGCCACAGAGCCCTGTTCCTTCCGAGTTCCCTGGTCACACAGGCCCCTGGCAGCTGCATATGCAGCCACCCAATGTGCAGAAGTGTTTGGGAATTGGGTGCAATTAAGCAGGAAGTGGGACCCACCATTCCCATGCAGAGTATTGCTGCTTAAAGTCTGCTTTTGGAAAACAGTTCTTCAGGATATCATCAGTTTTTCCCAAAAGAGAGGCTGGTTCCCCAAGATGGTGGCTGCAGATGGCTCAGCCTTGTCCCATTAGCACCTTTAGGGGATGCTTGGCTGCAGAGGCTGCTGGACATGTGCAAGTTACAGCGGATACCCTGCTATTAGAGGCAATCAAGGCATAGCTGGGCCTGAGGGAACAGCTCAGCACTGTGCTGGGAGCACTGAGAGAACAAGAGCCACCGGTGTGAATATGACAAGAACGAGAGCAATGTGGAAAGCCTTTCTTTCAGTCTGAGCTTTCAGTCCTCAGAGGGTTAAATCTACACCAGCTCTGGCCGTAAATCATTTTCTGCTTTGCTGAGGTTCAAGCTTTTATGTTATTGCCTCCTTTAGATCTTTTCAGTCCAATCTTTGAGACTCTGTAGCGTGTGGAGCATTTAGGTCTGTGCTGGCTGTGGCTTGATGTTGCTGCTCTGTGATCAGTTTGTGTCCTTTGGGAGTATTTTTTCAGCTGTTAGCAGGAAATAATGTGTTGTTTTGTTTTTCAATAAGCAGTGGTAGATGACAGTGCTCTGTAACTGCTGCTTACCCCTCAAGTAACGCCATGCGTGTCTCACAAAAGGCAAATAAAGTGCTTTGTGAAATGCCTTACTTCTTGGAGGTGTTAGGTTGTCAGCTCTGGAGATCAAAGTCCTCTGTCAAGTAGCTAACAGCGGCACACATTTCTCTGTACTTCCCCTGCTCCAGGCTTCAAACCCGACCTCAGGAGGCGGATTTTGAGAAACACGCTTATGCTATGGAAACTTACCCAGCTGAGTAAGGCCACTGGCCCATCTGGGTGGAAAACCCCTCGCATCTGCACACAGATTTCGCCTCGCCAACTGGTTGGGGATGAGAGAAGCTGCACGTCCCCAGGCTGCTGCTGCCAGCACTGCGTGCGTCAGGCTCGGTCTGGTGGTGTCATCGGGGCTGCAAAGTAGCTCCAGGACTGGGCCAATCCTTGTGTGGATTCACTGCTTCTGGAGAAGAGAGGAGGTAAGCAGTGAGAGGGAATTGTTCCTGCAATGGTTTGTGTAGCAGTCACAATACTTGAAGCCTGGAGCACAGCCAGTACTGTCCCTGCGTGCTGGCTGCTGACCTCCCTGGGATCCTGCGACACCTCCCTCGGGCTGGCACATCACCTGTCTCCTCCAGGACTAATGGGCAGGGTCGAAATCACTTTCAGGGAGCTTGCTGTTCAAGAGAGATCTCCAGAGGAGATTTACAGAGCCCATTTGGATGCGAAACAGGAACAGCATTTCTCCACCGATGCAATGCACAGAGTGTGATTTTCCCAGCAGCGGAACACCTCCAGCTGCCAATACTTTGCGAAGGAGTTGAGGAGATTCATGAGCTCCACAATTCATGTCGTGTACACCCTAGGGCTAGGCCGGAGGGACCTGAGCTTTGCAAATGCTTACGTGAGTGAGGTCTTATCTTAGTAACAGGTTCTTGAAAACAAGCAAGCAAGCAAAACTGTCCTGTGTTACTGTGGGCTGGATTAAAACAAAGGCAGAATGCTCCTGAACTTCAGGAAGTCTGAAATACAAATCTGCACTGCAAGACCAGGCCAGTCTTTTCATTTTAATTTCAGAAGAGGAAATACCTGGCAGTAGGTTGAGCCAGGAGTGATTGGCCAGACCTAGTGTTTAAAAGTTTTAAGCAGGTCAATCTAAGTGAAGATCACACAGACCATCATGGAGAACAGCCATTCTACAATTTTATCTGTAGTCACAAGCACTTTTTAGAGCTGAATAGTGATGCTGACTGTTTTGTGTGCAGGCAGGGAAGCATAATCTCCAAAGCAGGGTTGGGGGAAATCATTTACCTTGACATCAGGGCCAAAGAAAGAACATCAAGCAGGAGGCATTAGGCACAGTCATTAACAAATTCAGCATACGCTATTCTGAGTGACACAAGAAAAAATCAGAGAATGATGCAAGAGGTGATTCTTCTCCCCTCCAGCACACTGCCAAGCCTGTCCTTGCGACACAGCCCTCCACACCACGAAGTGGTGACAGGCAGCATCCATTACACCAGCATCTGGTTTCCAAAAACCCTGACCTTGCAAAACACGAAGTCGCTCAGGCTGCACAAGCCCACTTACTACCCGCCTGGAACAGGCGTGAGCCTGGCTGCCAGCTCTTTGCTTGGTGTCGGTCCTGTGAGCTTTTTTTTGTGAAGGCCAGTGGGGCTCTGTTGCAACACACTGCCTGTGTCCTAATAGCACAGTGATGGCAAGTGGTTTTTCACTTTCCTTTTACCTCTGCTGTAATTTTTTTTCCAATTTAGATACAAGCCTCATGGAGGAACTGGTATTGTCTTTCTCCAGCTTGTTTCCCTTTGTCCAGAAATTGCTTACAATCTTCCTGTGAAATGGATGCTGACCGCTGGGAAAGATCCAGTGCCGTTGTAGCTGGGTATCCTTCTTTAAAGCACACTTGATAACTCAGATTTTGTAAAGCAGAGTCAGCTCATTATTCAGAGGGTGCTACGGATCTTGGAGGCCTTTCATTTCTGCACCGCTTCCAAGTTCGGACCCACAACCCACCCAAACCTCCCTCAGGCTTTTGTTGACCACTTGCCTCTTTCACCTGTCCCTGCCCCTTGCTAGTTGTGTTGATGAAATCAAAAATAAAATCCAAATCCTGTCCTTACAGGCACAGACGACCCTGTGACTTGAAATGTCACAGCTGTCACCAGCCTGTGAAATAGCCTGGGGGAGGAGGAAGGGGCAAAAAGTCTTCAAGGCAAAGTTTGTTTAAATTCAGGAGAGGGAGGTGTGGTTTACTGTATAAAAAGGGTCCTTTGGCTGTCTGTCACTTTTAAATGGTGGGGGCTAATCTTGTTGCAAGGCTGGGTGGAAATGCAGAGGCAAGACAGAGATTAGAGAAAGTTTTTCTTCATTTTCTTTTTCTTTTCTGCTATCTGCAGTTGATGGGAAATGGCAGGGAAATGCTTTCATATGGAGAAGTCTGTTGAGAAGAAATTGTGGGAAGATAATAGATGTTGAGGGAAATGATTTCTTAGCTGACTTCACACTGACTCTCTGGGGAGTGGAGGGCTTGATGGAAATCAGAGTCTTCTCCTTGCGTTCAGCTTCATTAGCATCAACAGAAATGAAACTTCCTCAGATGAAAATAACCTGCACATAGGGAGAGCCGGGAGGGAAAAGAACGTACCTGACAGATAAATCATCCAGGACAGAGGTGTTTAAATTGCAGCCTGCAGGGCACTTGCAGCTCAACAAGCCTCGGCTTGCAGCCCATAAGGGGATTTTTTAAACAAAGGCATTGCGTTTCTGTGGGGTATCGCACTGCAGGTGAGTTTTATGTGATCCAAGACCTGCAGCCCGCCGAGGGAGTGGGTGTCTGTGAACGTGACTGCCCCGACATAGGGCTTTCCTAGCAAGGACTTCCTAAAGTTTTCTTTAGGCATGAGTGTTACCTGTACTAAGAGGAAACAAAGCCTTCGGAGGCTTGGAAGGAAAATAATCTCATGAAAGTCATAAAGTCATATGCTGTATCCTGTGGTTTCGTTAGCTTTCTCAGGGAGTTAGGCTTCAACACCAAAAAAAAATAATAATAAAAAGGCAATATTAAAGGCAGTTTGCTTTTCTTTTTGTACTAGGTGTCAGTCCTAATCACTTACCTGAATTCTCTTTCCCACTGCTTTATTGTAGGGCTTTTCTGCATAGCCTGCCACAAAGCAGCAGAAATAGTGAGAAACAACCTCTTTTGCAGCCTCTTAATCACTGGCAGGGAAAAGCAAGCTCAAGGCTGCGTATCTGCGGAAATATTACTGAGTAGGGGAAATCTGTCTGCAGAGCCCCGTCAGCACTAAAGGCCGTGTAAAATGGGTCACTGGAAATGTGTAAGCAAAGTACATGTAAAAGGAGAGAGAAGAACCTGCCATTTATGTTGTTTCAATTCCTTGAGCACACATTTAGCGTTAAACTACTTTCTCACTTGAGGGATTGGCACACTGCTAAAAAGAAGGGAGAGAACAGCAGAGCACAAAGGGACACTGCATGCTTCTGAAAGAAACAGTGATCTGCTATTATTACATTTGGGAATTTGGGGAAACGCCTTCTCACTTCACTACCACTTTACGGAAGCAATTTTCTACACGATGAAGAAAACTCATCATGCACGTGTAGAGTTCCCCTAGCATCCTGTCGCTTGTCTGCAGAGGAAATGCCCGGGATGACCTTGCCCCTGGCTGGGAAGGTACAGCACAACTCTGCTGTCCCAGCATTTGGGACGATGTGGTGGCTTCTATGTTAAAGAAAAAATGTGCTCTCCTCAAAGGTCTGCCACTTCTGCAAACTCACAGAACTTGTAAAACTTAGGCTTGGAAATTACTGTGGAGAAGGGATGACAAGATTTGGAGGGAAGTACTCAGGGGGTAAATGTCCTAAACTTGCTTCTGTCTTCTTCTAATTAGCTTGACTCAGCCTTCCCCCTTGGTGCCAATCACCAGGGAGCTGAGAGAGGCACCAAAGCATGCACGTGCTCACCTCACCTGCCTTGACTCCTAGGTGGAAGTGCCTCACCAGTGCCCAGGCAGCCTACCAGATCCTACCTGACCCAGGTGTAGCGAGTCCCTGCTGATTGCAAGAAAGCTGTGGCCACGTTCCTTAGCAGAGAGGCTTCCAGGAGCAGGGCTGCAAAGCACAGCTGAGTTGCAGAGGAAGCAGGCCTCTTGCTTTTACAGCTCCTGACAGGCATTAGACTTCAATATGTGAGTACATACAATTTTTCCCATTGTTTTACAAGTAGTTTTTGCTGGTCATTGCTGTTTAACTTTACTAGGAACTTCTTTATTTATATGCCTTAGCTCTGTCTTCTTTCAATTGCAATTAGAAGTATCTCTTTGCTTTTAGGGGGCTTTTCTTTCAGGTAGGTGTTCTGAGGTATGGGGTGTGAAGTGGTGCACGCTGTCCTTGGAAGAACACGGGCTTGTTGGTGTCAGTACAACTCAGTTCAGAAGCAGTTGAGCCAAAATTCACCATCTGTGAAAAAGTGTTGTGATGATACAGTAGCTCTCAAAATGTTTGAAAAGGCACTTCAGGGAAAAGCAGCAAAGGGTCTTTTCTCTAATTAAGTTGACACGAGAAGCACACGCTGGGGAGAGCAACTTGTACTGGTTTTGAACCCACAGCAATAATCTTTGGGGTTGCTTTTGGCTTGTTTTTTCTGGGCACAGATGTGCTGTAACGTATTTTGTACGTCAAACAAGACTTGGCTTAGAGATGAAAGCAGAGGAGTAAGAAGGGAAGGGATGAAGGAAGGAGGGGAGCCAGTATGCCTCAGGAAATGAATGGCCAGACAGTGGAGAGCCTCACGTTGATGGTGTGGTCTTTGGGCCTCTCCACATCTGTGCCCCAAAGACTTGCTGAATTTCTGGTTCCAAGGTCCCTGTGAATTGCAGGAGTCTCTTCATGTTTTAGAAGATTTGTAGAGGAAATATGACCACTTCAAGGGCTTGAAACTGCATCCTATTAAAATAACAACTCATCAGCTTGATGTACTCCTTTGGTAACTCCTAAACTTTTCACAGTTGGGCAGTTTTTTCCCAATTCCCTCCTCTGTAAGCTGTCAAGTTAGCCTGCCTGCAAATTAGCTGCCTGGCACAGAACACAGTAGCCCAGATACCAGCGCACTGACGCACCACTGCTACTGGCTCATAGCAGATGCACCCTTTGCAAACAGCCCCTGGGAGCAGAGAATCTGCTGAGAACACTTCATGAGAATTGTGTTGTGCCCTCACGTTCGCTGTGGAGAGAAGGAATGACCCTAAAAGTGTCCGTGGCTTTCCATCTGAAACTTTGCCGTAGTGTCTTTGAACCAACCTGTCTTGGTGATCATGATGCATACAGAATGGGGGTTTGGGGTTGGGACAGTGGATGCTCTTACTTCCATTGTAAGTACTCGTAACTTGAAGTAAATTCACAAACACGTAAGACAGCTGGTGGGTACGTACCCTCTCAGTGAGAAGAGTGATGCGCACAAAGCTGCTGATGGGTCCCAGGCTCCTTCCAGAGTGAAAAAGGGAAGGATGTTTGGCTCTTCTCTGTGACTAATTCTAGAATAAACCACAGCTTCCTCCGTGCGTTTCAAAACATAAATGAACTGCGAAGGTCCCGTTTCCTTTAGGGTGCAGCGACGTAACTAGCCTTTCGGAAAAAGCTACCACATCTCAGAAGTAAAAACGGTGAGGAGCAGGGATTTTGTTGACAGCAAACTCACTCGGGCTCATGTAAAGACCTGTTGCTTCCACAGGGTGCTGCAGAGGAGGGGGAAATGCCCAGAGTGTGTTTGCAATGCAAGGTGGGGAGGAAGTTTTGACACCGTAGTGGCAGGTTTGGGGTATGCAATGGCACACGACTGGCGTTTCAGCAGAGCTCTGAAGGGACTGCTTTGTCAGGTACCCAGTTACAGGGGTGCAGGGCACTTGCTGCATGTCCCGTGACCAATGTCCATCAGTTCAGGAGAGAATAATGAGCTTTAATTGTTCCGTCTTTCAGATCTTCTGTGTTGGAAGACATCAGGAGGCCCTTTGCCAGGTTTGGTAGCAACCCTGAAGTACAATTGCTTATTCTGGTTCCAGGTAACACAGGGCAGCTACCACTGAAGAGGAGGATTTTTCCACAGGTGTGGTGGAAACGTGGGCTCCCTGTCTGCGGGTTAGTCCGAGGTTAGGCAGGATGGTGACTAACCTAGGAGAGGCTGGGGGAGCAGGGTGTGAGTGTGCTGCTATTTCTGTGAACACCCTCGAACCATTCAGAAAATACCTCCGGGTCTCGGAAAGTGAGGCAATACCACCAGGAAATATCAGCTGAGTAGGAAAAACAGCTGTGACCTTGCCGATGAGAAACTGGTGACAGCCTCAGTCTCTGTCCGACAGCTTGGGAGCGGGGCACAGGTGTGTGATCGGGCTTTATGCACTGCCTCGGACTCACTTCTTGCCTCCCAAACTTTTATGCTGGCTAAGCAGGCTGCAAAGCCTGTCCTCCTGCTCAGGAGAGCAGTCTGTCCTCAGGCCAGGCTGGTGTTGGACCTGTCCTGGTGAATCCTGGCCTTTTGCTGGGACAAAATATGTTCCCAGCGTGTTGGTGGCTGAGAGACAGTCGTGCTGCCTGGCTGGCTTTGGACTTGGGAGGCACTTCCCAGGGATGCCTTCCTCGGAGAGCCAAGGAGAAGTGCTCTCGGATGCAGTCCTGGCTCTGAGGCAGGAAGGAGTCCTTGGCATGGCAGTTCAGCACCGTGACCTTTAAACTCTTCCCCTGGCTTATTCAAGTCAGGCACAGAAGGCGCTCTGGGCGAGGCAAGGCTCGGTGTAGATCTGTTATGAATCACACCTGTGGTGCTGTCTGCTGCATTACGTGGCCTGCCGGTCCCACACGCTGGGCTGGGGGCAAGCACACGTCATCGGCCTTAGGGTGACACATGAAACAGTTGGGAGAGTCTGCTGCACTTGTGTGCAAGTGCTCAGTGAGCGCTGGAGCAGATAAGGCTTCCTGTGAGATAGGTTGAGCATTAAGGGAGAGCCAGGCCCGGGTGATGCTCAACCCATAAACCTGGTGGTTACAGCAACCAGCAGCTGGGACTGAGCATCACGCTGCCCGGGTGATGGTTTGCACAAAACCTGGGGAAAATGCTGCCCCAGCTCCTCAGTTGCCCTCCTGTGGCTGGCCAGAGAGAAGTGGTTACGTGCTCCTGTATCACAGCTCGTAGTTCCTGCTGAAGTGTTTGTTTGGGTTACTCAGTAAGCCTCCGCCTGTATCACTTACTCAGAAGTCCTGACTGTTGCAGAACAAACACTGTGCAAAACTATTAGCTCATGATGTGTCACTACCTGCTTTTTTGCACTTTACAGGGGTAAATTGGGGGCTGGAGTAACTTGGTGGCTTCGTCTCATGACGTTTAAAGGCCTAGCTGGATGTCAGGGTAATAGCACTGCTCCTCTGCCTCCTCTATCTCATCTCCAAAGTGTTACACTGCAGGCTTCTGGCTGTGTTCCTGTTGAGAACATCACACAAAGCGTGTCTATTGGATGCAAAGCTCCCTTCCAAGCAAAAACCCAGGCAAAATTAGTAACGAAGTTCACTTTGAGCTCCTGAAAACTTCAGTCCTGCTCCTAATCCTAAAGAGGAGCTTTAGGAATCATGAAAGCAGGGATCCCCAGCGTGTGCTCACCGGGCAGGTAAGCACAAATGCACGCTCAAAGGATCCAAGCAGGCAGTCTGGTGCTCCAGCTGCTCCCAGGGGAAGAAGCCTCAGCCATGGGATTTCTCTACTTCTCTGCCCTGCACACTGGCTTCCAGCGACACTAACGGGTTCCAGCTGTTCCCAGGTGTGCAGCCGGACAGTAACGTTCCTGTCTCAGCTTAAGCCTAGCCTACAGCCTTTCCAGTGAGGAACACGGCCATTGTATACATATTAAGCAGTCATTACACATGGACTAGCTTTTTTGTGCTTCTAGCAGAATTCCCAATAAATCTAGCTGGACTGGGAAAATAAATAATAATAATAAAAAAAGCCTGGCTGCATACAACACGTGCAGCTTGTCAGACTAACAAAGGGGGTTCTGCACAGAGGTGCCTTTCATAAGGACAGGCATCCCCGTGGTCATCCACAAGCCCGCTGCAGCCTGATTTGTGGATAACAATATGTCTGGAGGATGCTGCTAAGCTTTTGAAGGGCAGTGCAAGAGCTGCTCGCCTGCCTGCTGCCCTTCCAGCCCTGTGTTTCCAGCCGCTAGAGCACTTTGCGCAGCAGCATGCAACTTGAGTTTCCTCACCCAGCTTGCTGTTGTTCTCAGTAACTGAGGGACAGCCCTAAATGAGGTGGTGGCTGCAGGTTATTCTCCTCTCCTGCTTCATTACCCTGCAGCCAGCCCCGCAGCAGTGCGGGGGATAGAGGGCTTTGCTGCCTACGTCTCCTTCTCCTGGTCTTTCAGGGTGGCTGCTGCTCCGCATAGCAGCCTTCTAGCAGATGGTCCCTTTACATTGCTGCAGGGGCTGTAGGGTCTAACAGGCATTTCTAGATTTCCAGGATGCCTCTCTGCCTCTCCCCACCCGAAAACCTCCCCTGAACAGTGTTTTGCTGCAGAGCATCAAGATGAGCCAGTTCCACAGGTTGCCACTGCTCTCGCCTGGGAACAGAGCAAAGATCTCTGACCTGTGTGCTCTGCAAAAGGAGGGCTGCTGCTTCCTAGCTCCCTTTTCCTTCCCCAAGCCTGTTTCCTCTGTTCATTCCTGCCCTGGCAGCTGGTTTCCTTGTCCTTCTCAGCAGCCTCCCATCCCCGTGCACCCTGGATGTGGTGCAGATCCCACCTGCATTGAGGTCTGACGGCACCGGGTGATGCCGTGGTGTTGGCCACCTCCAGCCTGCTTGCATCGTGACAGAAAGGAGGAACTGGGAAAAACCTTAAAGCTGGTGGGTCAGGAATACTTCTGGCAATCCCCTTTCTTAAGGGGGCAGTGAAAAATCCTCCTTGGAGTCCAACCTAACTCCTAAAATAATGTTAAATCGTTTCACATGCACTCAGTCTGCTTTGGCTGTAATCTGCTCATCATCCAGGTACCTCCGTACATCACAGACGGTATGAAAGCCTCACTTTCTATCCCTTTATTTTTTATTTTTCTTTCTGGCAGCTACACTGCGAGTGTCTACTGCTCCCTAGCGGCACCGAGCCCCCAGCCTCGCAGGGACCCGGCTTTCCAGCAGCTTCGCACA